GCCGACCCAAGAAGCCCAGCCAGCAAGTGATGGCTCTTGTGGCGCGGGTCGGCGCCGGCACAGAAGCGTGCGTCGCTCTTGCACACCTTGCACCACTTGGTGGCGTTGGCAATGCCGATTTGCCACATGGTGGCATTGAAGTGCTTGAAGCTCATCGACGGCCGGTTGCTGCCGAACAGCGGGCAGGGTGTGAGCGGTGCTTGTGGGTTTGCTGTGTCGTTCTGGTAGAGGAATCGTACGTAGAGCTTGTCGATTGGTGGGTAGGCGACGTTGTTGTGGGAGGAGGTGGTGGGCGGGTTGTGGGGGCTGGTGGGTTGCTTGTAGGTGTCAGGGTTGTTGTTGTTGCTGTAGGTGTCCGTCTTCTCGTCGTTGCAGTCGTCGTCGTCGTCGTCGTAACCGCGGCGAGACTTGTCATTGTAGGATCCGGTGGCCGCGTCGTAAGGGTCGGCGTCATTGCAGGAGTCGGTGTTGTTGTAGGAGTCATTGTTGTTGTTATAGGAGTCTGCAGTCGCATCCGAGTCGACAGAGAACAACTCAAAAGTCAACGTTGCACCGGAATCGGGGAGTCGCGAGAACAGGTGGCTAGAAGCTCCGGTGGTGAGGTTTGTCAAAGCAAAAAAACCTAGGAACGGCTCGTGCGAGGTGAAGGCGAGATTCAGTTTGTTCCGCTCGCCGTGGGACTCGATGTTCTCGGCGAACAGGGCCGTGACCCTGGATGCAAGCGTGCGGCCAGCGATGGAGGACGTCAAGTCACTCTGAGCGCTGCCCGTACCAGACATGTCGGCATGCTTGAGCGTCTGCTCGTGCCAGGCAAGTTCTCTTAGTTTCTCTAGGTCGGCCGAGGACATGGCCGAACGAGTGCTGTTGTCATGGTTCTAGCGGTAAGCGGCATAATCGTACAGGTCATGGGCGTTGTAGAAGTTGGCCTGTGAGCGGGGGAATGCATCGCAGAAGACTTTGTCCCAGAGACTGCTGTAGAATACTTTGTGGCTCTGATGAATCGAGTCGGCGATACTGTTGTTGGAGAACATGAGCAGCGATTCCTCATGTGTGCTGCAGTGGTCGTGGCCATGGCTCCTGAAAGTGGGATTTGTTAGTGGCACGGCTAGCCCGAGGTACCGTCGGTTTATCACATACCAGATCGAGTCTGGATCGGTGTTAGGGGAAATGGTTCTGATGTTAGGGTACTGGTAGCCGAACATGGGGTAGTTTAGAATCGAGCCGTTGGCAAACCGGGTATGGTCTGGGATGTCGAGGTCGCATGGTGTATGTGGCCATGGCGGGTAAAGGCCCTGCATGAAGGCGATGGCGCTCGCCGAGGAGCAGTGATCCGTGGACGACTCGACATTGAGGTGTGAATGGTCGATGGTCCTAGATTGGATGCCGACGATGCCAACATGCTCGTCATGACGCGAGGGGCGCAAGTACCGGTTGCGGAAGGCAGCTCCTCGGTCATACATCTGGTTTGCTCCAAGGGGAGTGAGAGTCGCGGGATCCGACACAGCGAGTGGCGTGTGGTCACCGTACATGACCTAAGAGGCCGATGACCACACACGCTCGTTGCTGGGTCCGGCCAGGGAGGTTGGCACCAGCAGCGCGAGGACCATCGATAGAGAAGCCATGGTCGGGAATGGCCAGGTCAATGAACGATCGAGAGCCGTAATGATGGATTACGGAAGCGGACAAGAAGATCAAAAGAGAATGTGATGTGAAGATGCAACTTGGAATAAGACGCTTGTTTCGATCCGAGACTCGGCGTCCTCAGAGGTTGTTCCTGCTCTTGCAGTCTAGGAAACTACCTGGAGAAGCAACGGGTGCCCAATGAATTTCCTCTCATTTTTGAGGGGCAGTTGCCAACAAGCGTACGAAGCACTTCGTAATGAAACTGAAGTGCAAACACGAGGACGGGAACCTTGGAAGTCGTTGGTCCCGACCTGTCAAATGTAGTTTCGGAAAGTGGGGCCTGTCAGCAAAGGTGGCAAGTGGGGCCCACTCTTGCTTCCATGTCGCGGCCCGCGGGTGGTCGCCACTTCAGAGTTCAGACCGATCATTCCCGTCTCTTCGAGGAACACACACATGGCAACTCCATCGTGCGAAACCTGCCAGTGATCAAAGGTTTCGGGATCAACTTCCGCATCTGATAGTTCCAGACCTTGGGATGACGAAACGCCACACACACCGTGTTGTCTCCCTTCGGCACCTTCCGCCAAACCCACCCATTGATCGGCGGGGCTTGATCTGTTGGCCCTGCAGCTGCAGGGCTGCGTCGGGCCAGGGTCCTTGCACTGCACCGTTGGTGGTTCTGTCCGCCCAGTCGAAGACAGGCTGCGGAACGGTTGTTCCCAAATCGATCTCCCGTCGAACGAACAGAAGTGCCGTCGGGAAGGGAGGTCATTTGGACGCGACTCTTATGTTTACCAGAAACAGTCACAGCAGGCGGCAGGTGTGTGTTCCCCTCAGCTCTGGAAGTAGGGCGGCGGCGAAGTGTTTTCTGTACTTTTGTCGTCCCTTTCCGGGCTGCGGCATTCCCACCTGGGTGCTTTTTTTACCCATGCAGTGCAGCAGCCTGGGCTCGCTCCACCAGCACTGAGGTCAGCACAGCATCTCCAGCCGCAGTCCTCCGTCCACGCATTCGCCAACATGCCGTGCCGTCGACGGCTCCGTCCCGAGAAGTCGGGCGGTCATGGGATTCATCTTCACTTGAAACCTCCCCGACAGCAGTTGGCTTCCAGAAGTGGCCGACTTTGTAGAGTCCGCAACGCGGTTGCAGCGACACAGCCCGATCCCGACGGCCATCATTGGTGCGATTGCCGCTTTCAGTGACGGTCCAGTCCAATTCAGTCCAAGCGCTGCAGGCAAGATTGAGACAGGGCGCCGCCGAGTTGCCGAGATGGCGCACTCATGAGCAGCAAACATGTCTTATAGGCCTTGCCCCTCTTCAGGAGTGAGGTGTCGCCTGTTCCTTGAGCACGAGTTTCGAACCGCGCCGCGCCGCCTCCGGATCCCAGCTGAAGGAGTGAGTGGGCGCCCGCGCCGAGCACAGTAAGAGAGAGGCGCGCATCGACGAGACTGGAAAACCCCGGCGGCGCCCAGCTCGATCCTGCGGAAATTGCGCCGTTGGCTCGTGTCTTGATCCAAACTTTTGCCCTCTCGAATTTTCTTTCGTCCTTGCACTGGACATTCTACGCCCCGTCCATTATCATCCCAGATCTATAGCTGTCGAGTGTTGGTGGTTTGGCAACGACGATAGCCCGATGCACACGACGACCCAACCATGACGGTCGTCGGCCCCTTAACAACGACATTCCGAGCCCCATCAAGTTGTACAACTGCCACTCCACAGATATACCAAGTCCGGTCGGGGACCGAGTCGAGTTACGTCGAGGGACCGCTCTTCACCCCAGACTCGGATTGTTTCCCCAGCGGCTACGACCCCGCCCCGACGAATTACTACTCGCCCGGCTGGTGTCCGTATGGGTACACAGCAGCCTGCTCAAGCCTCGCATCGGTGAGCACCGAGACGGAGACGGCCGTCATTTGTTGTCCGACGTAGGTTGAAACGCTCGGAAATTTGCCCGCAAGATATGGGGACAGCAACTAAACGTTTGGACGTTGTGCAGTCACTTCGGCTATTCTTGCCTCGCTTCCACCTCTCCCGGTCAACCTTCGTTAGGATGCACGACAACATGGGAGGCGGCGTTGGCAGTTCTCGGGGTAACGGTCGTGACAGACGGCAAGGTCGGCACCACAACTGTGGTTTCCGAGGCGTCAAATGGGATCACGGCGTACGGCATTCAGGTCCGCTTCAAATCAGGCGATCCGACGCCAGCGCCGAGAGCCGATGACTTTGTAAGTGCAATCCAACGCCAAATGGGGGATGCTCAACTAACTCACCTCGAAAGAGTTTCTCCGTCATAACCCGCACATCACCACCCCCAGTATCCATCCCGACCCAACTCTTTATTCCCACACAACCCGCCTCCTCCTCCAGCGGGCTTAGCACCCCTGCAGTAATCGGCATCGGCGTCGGCTCCGCGGTAGCAGCGCTCCTCATTGCCGGCGTAATAGCTCTCTTCTTCTTTCTGCGTTGGCGGAGGAAAAGGAGATCAAAGCGACCATCCTCCTCCTCACCCCCGCCGGTCCCGCCCAAGGAATTTTCCGGGTCGCCGGCCCCTGACCGCACAGCGGCCCCGCGCTATGAACTTTCAGACGAGGCCTCGCCGCGGCAGCCTTCGATATTCTCAAAACGACACCTGTCGATGTCGCCTGTTCCAGGATGGACACCGACCGTGAGAGGGGGGAGAGGAGACAGTGGGGTGCCGGCTGGTTACCAGGCGGTCGAGTTGGAGGCTCCCAGCGAGGCGTCGTTGAGGGACAGGACGTCGCCCGAGTCGGAGAGCAGCGGGTGGACCGATAGGCAGGCTCGGGGAGCGACCATGCCGATGCCTTGGATTTAATGGGATCGAAGGATCGAGGTGGAAACTAGGCCCGGATTGCTGGGCCCTTCACACCTTATAACGTTTCGACAGACGGAACGGATACACTTATACGAGCTCGACCGCAAGGTTGCGAGCTTCGGATCGGGATTTGATTTTGTGGGTGGTGGTGCATGGCCCTTCTTAGTTGGTGGAGTGGTTTGTCTACGGAGTACTTAATTGCGATACCCTCGTCTGGGCCCACGATCTCGGCCAGTATAGCACTACCTCGAAGCCTCCGTCTGACTTCGCCCGTGACTCGTCAGAGATTGAGCGTGGACTTTTTCCGAGTTATAGCTACCGGCATCTCATCAAGTATAACAACTTGAACCTCAGGGTCATCAATCTTTGCGGTTTAAAGGCCGAAAGAATTATGATATCGGTCTTTAGTGATGTGACGGAGCATAACCTGTAAGAACGCTGTTGCTCCGATGATCTGGGTTTCTTCCTGAATATGCGAGCCCTCCCGCATAAATACTTGCAAAAAAACATTTATTTCGCCTACGAGGGAGGGGCAAAAGTGAATGCCCACACTCGGAGTCGAACCGAGGATCTTGTCATTGACAGGTACGAGTGACACGCTTTACCACTAAGCCATGCGGGCTGATTGCTGATTGATATTCACAGCAATTTTTATTTTTCCTATAAAGATTGAGAACAATACGAAGACTAACTGTTCACATCGATACCTTCGGTCATGTCCAAACTGATTCTGTTGGGAATACTGATAGCACTGTGCCATACCTGCACATACGCATATTCTTGCCTTTTTATACCGCGGAATCGATTAATGAGTCGCGCGAAAGCGCAGCCAGCAATGGCCGTGGAACCCGACCAGTTGCAACACCTGCAGCCAGCTGCCAGCCTGCACCCTTCCAACCTTGCCTGCCCGCCGCGTCTGCCAAGCCAAAAATTCACCAGCCCAGCAGCGAACAGCAGCAGACAGCGGCGGTTCACTGGCAGCTCCTCCACCCACCCACCACACCGCGCAACCGCGTCTCGATTCACCACCGTTGCGCCGAACCAGAGATCGACGACGACCACTCGACTGAGATACTAGCGCGCCCTACAAGCCGCGGCCCTCAACCACCCAGGCGATTACGCAGCACCCAAACCGCGCATTCGGCCAAGGCGCATCTCGAACCGGGCCCAAACGATCAACCACCCT